TGTGGTTGTTGTATCTACATTTTTTATTGTGGCATCCTATTTCATTAAACATGTAATGAAACACTGATTATTCCCGTTATGCGTTTCTTTTTTTGGCCAGTGTAGTTACCTTGACTAAATAAACATGACTGGTTGATTTTGTTTCCATCTTCAAACACGAAGACATAGCTTACGTTATGTGTAACTATGTGTAGCTATGTGCAGTTACGTGTAACTATGTGTAGCTATGTGCATTTACGTGTAACTATGTTTAGCTATGTGTTGTTGTCTGTATCTGTATGTAGGTGTGTGTAATTCGAGGGAGCTATTTGTTTTTATGTGTATCTTGGGGCACGGGTGGCCCAGTGATCTAAGGCGCCACAATTCCCCTTGGACACACCAGAAACCTATGATTGTGTGTTCTAATCCCGGTTCGCCCGATAACGTGTCTAGGTTTGTCAGCACCATATCCGTGCTCGAACTTTCACTAACATGGTAAACGTCTGCATCACTTCGAGCTTTCCTCCCACATTAAGCCGACACGCCATGATATAACTGGAATACTGTCAGACGCGGCGTTAAAACCAACTCATTCACTCTGTATTTTTGTGCAAGCAATGTGTAGATACGCATAGGTATGTGTAGCTATATACAGCTATGTGTAGCTATGTAGAGCTATGTGTAGTTATGAGGAACTTGTATAGCTCTGTGTAGCTATGCACAGTTATAATTAACTCGATGCAGCTATATGTAGTTATGTGCAGCTATCTGTAGCTATGGGGAACGATCTGTAGCTCTGTGTAGCTACATGCATGGACAGCCATATGCAGCAATGTGTAGCTATGAGGAACGATGTGAAGCTACATGGATGGGCAGCCATATGCAGCAATGTGTAGCTTTAAGGAACGATGTGTAGCTACATGGATGGACAGCCATATGCAGCAATGTGTAGCTATGAGGAACGATGTGTAGCTATGAGGAACGATGTGTAGCTACATGCATGGACAGCCATATGCAGCAATGTGTAGCTATTAGGAACGATGTGCAGCTACATGGATGGGCAGCCATATGCAGCAATGTGTAGCTATGAGGAACGATGTGTAGCTATGAGGAACGATGTGTAGCTACATGCATGGACAGCCATATGCAGCAATGTGTAGCTATGAGGAACGATGTGTAGCTATGAGGAACGATGTGTAGCTACATGCATGGACAGCCATATGCAGCAATGTGTAGCTATGAGGAACGATGTGTAGCTACATGGATGGACAGCCATATGCAGCAATGTGTAGCTATGAGGAACGATGTGTAGCTACATGCATGGACAGCCATATGCAGCAATGTGTAGCTATGAGGAACGATGTGTAGCTACATGCATGGACAGCCATATGCAGCAATGTGTAGCTGAGGAACGATGTGTAGCTACATGGATGGGCAGCCATGTCCCGCTATGTGTAGCTATGAGGAACGATGTGTAGCTACATGGATGGGCAGCTAATGCAGCAACGTGTAGCTAGCTATGAGGAACGATGTGTAGCTACATGCATGGACAGCCATATGCAGCAATGTGTAGCTATGAGGAACGATGTGTAGCTACATGCATGGACAGCCATATGCAGCAATGTGTAGCTATGAGGAACGATGTGTAGCTACATGCATGGACAGCCATATGCAGCAATGTGTAGCTATGAGGAACGATGTGTAGCTACATGCATGGACAGCCATATGCAGCAATGTGTAGCTATGAGGAACGATGTGTAGCTACATGGATGGACAGCTAATGCAGCAATGTGTAGCTATGAGGAACGATGTGTAGCTACATGGATGGGCAGCCATGTGCCGCTATATGTAGCTATGAGGAACGATGTGTAGCTACATGGATGGGCAGCTAATGCAGCAATGTGTAGCTATGAGGAACGATGTGTAGCTACATGCATGGACAGCCATATGCAGCAATGTGTAGCTATGAGGAACGATGTGTAGCTACATGCATGGACAGCCATATGCAGCAATGTGTAGCTATGAGGAACGATGTGTAGCTACATGCATGGACAGCCATATGCCGCTATGTGTAGCTATGAGGAACGATGTGTAGCTACATGCATGGACAGCCATATGCAGCAATGTGTAGCTATGAGGAACGATGTGTAGCTACATGCATGGACAGCCATATGCAGCAATGAGGAACGATGTGTAGCTACATGCATGGACAGCCGCCATATGCAGCAATGTGTAGCTATGAGGAACGATGTGTAGCTACATGCATGGACAGCCATATGCAGAAATGTGTAGCTATGAGGAACGATGTGTAGCTACATGGATGGGCAGCCATGTGCCGCTATGTGTAGCTATGAGGAACGATGTCTAGCTACATGGATGGGCAGCCATGTGCCGCTATGTGTAGCTATGAGGAATGATATGTAGCTATGTGTAGTGATATATGTACACTTACGTACAGTAAGATGCCGCTTACTTACGACTCGAATTTCAAAATGATAGCGATCATGGAAAGGTTTCACAAATGTTCTAAAAGTTATCCACATTATTGTAAAAACAGCTAAATATACAACACAGCTAACATTACTTACTTTAGTTTTAAATATACTATTCGTTATCTCTAAAACGGTTTGCTGATGAATTAGATACTTATGTCGAAGCACCTGTATCTCGATATTGCTGTCAACTCAGTTTTCAGGAAGGCCAAGGCCCCTCGAGACAACATAGACAGACGCCAGTGTGCAGTGAATACATTGTGCTTGAAGTCCGTGTGGAGTGCGTGTAGCGTTTATTCGCTGATCGACTGTGCACATCTGTCCGTGGGAATTGCCATCTCCATTACATGAAGAGGAAGGAAGGGTTGTCTTCGCCATAAGTGAATCAACCAACACATTGCGTCATGAATTGTGTCCAATAATACCGGGCGCTCAGACGAAACTCGGACCCTTTTAAAAGACGCCACCTTTCTCCAACCTAATTCTCACTGCCACTTCTACATCCACGCTAACATGTTAGAAGAAGGCAATTCTTTCAGTGCCTCACGAACACCAGTCATCTTGCCAGATGTCGCAATTACCAACATGTCATCAATTGAGATCAATTCACTGTCGTTTTTGCAATAAAGGTCAGCTCCTTGTTTTCATTGTAAACCCTTGTAGCTGTGTCACGGCAAAGCTGACTCCATTTTCCCCATTGGAAATGCACATTTAATCACTTTCCTTTTGAATTGCACTGTAAGATTACATTTCGGGCCAAAAGAAAAACATTCTCCAGTCCTATTCAAGGGGGACCAATGTAGCATCCGCGTTCTTTGAAGGTGTTCGAACAATATTGGTTTTCTTACGCGGAAATCAGGCCAACACTTCAGTTGACCTTCAGTGTTAACTGTTTATCGTTGGAATGAAATGGAAGTTCTATGAACACACGTTGACAAATCTGCAAAGTGACCATGACCACAGTATTGCTTAAAGTAGGACCGGACACAACACGACACGTCCGTATTGCACCTTTACATACAGAAACTGTCATCAGTTCCACCAGTCATCAGTTCAACCTCGCTAATTTAGGATTCATAGATGCATTAATCCGCAGTCATGTTGCATTTAAACTATATAGACGACCCCAACACAATCGTCCGTTAGGCAAGGTGTCTAGATTCAGCTTTGACTGTAAATAAGGGTGTACATAAGGGAGCATGGGTGGCCACGTGGTCTAACCTCCCTGTTAGACCACGATGATCGTGTGTTCGAATACCAACCACCCTTGATTATGCCCCTTGGTCTGTTAGCACCGTAGCAGTACGAGATGTCAAGATCAGAGATAATCTTGTATATATTAATTATATGTTAGTACTTTAGATAGATGTTTTATGGTATGGTTACGTAAAGAATAAACTCCGAAGACGCGTCAATAGTTGTGCACGGGGTTTGGTCTGAGGCGCGTTAGCGCCGAAGACCAAACCTCGTGCACAACTATTGACGCGTCTGAGGAGTTTATTCTACTTAAACCTAAATAGTCGCGGCTTTAGTTTCATTGGAATGCTACTTCCCCTAAAAAAACCTATTATGCGTTCAAATATTATATACACCTCAACTAAAAACAAACTCAAAATACTTTTTATAGCTTTTGCAAGTTTGAATCCCGTAGTATCAGACAATTAGGTAACCGAGAACAGAAACCGGTAACAGTTGAACGTCATTAGTTGTGCGCGTGCAGTTCACTCGAACACACCAGAATCATACGAAACGGGTTTCAGTTGCATGTCATTAGTTATGCGCGTGCATTTCGTTCGACATAACCAAATGGCTTGTCAATCGGATTCAGACAGCGAGTTATTTTTGACCCAGAGTAAGTTTTCGCAAAACTTTGATACACAAGATATAAACAGTGACTTTGAGAATTTATTAAACAACTCTCCCGCGTATGATGATGACGGCAATGTTGGTACCAGTAAATCTATGACCGAATTGCCTAATCGCCCTGATGAGGAACAGAAGCTTTTTCTTTCTCCGGTCGGTGAAACATCCACTGGCAATTTCAACATACAACTCGGCACTTCATCTGATGATGAAATTATTCCTTGCAGTCAAGGATTTAAAACTGTGGAGATTGCACGACAAAAAGCTGAAACTCCCCCTCCACCCCCCTTAAGTCCGGTATCGCGCCGTTTCGGTAGGCCGCTCTCTTCACTTGAATTGCAAGATTTGGAAAGATCTGCTAAAAGTAAAAATACTTTAAAAAAATGTGGCTGGGGCCTTCGGTTACTGTCTACTTGGTACAAAGCAAGAAAATGGAATGGACAAGAAGTAGACAAGTATCTTTTACAAGCGTCTGACGGCGAGTTAAACCAAATGTTTATCGCCTTCATAACGGAAGTAAAAAATTTGAAAGGTAAAGACTACCATGGCAATACCCTCCATGAGATTTTAATGTCACTGCAATATCATTTGAGAGAAAATGGCAGAGAAATAAACTTATTGACGGATTTTGAATACAGTGGTCTCCGAAGAATGTTGGACGCCAAAATGAAGAAACTGGCAGCACGAGGAATTGGAATCGTTAAGCGGAAAGCTGACATCATCAGCTGTGAACAGGAAGATATCCTGTGGGATAAGGGAATCCTCGGAGATGACACACCCCAGAAACTACTGGACACGCTGCTTTATCTGAATGGCATTTCCTTCTGTTTGAGGAGAGGTGAAGAACACCATTCGCTTAAACTTTCAAATTTCTCATTTGTGGAGAAAAATGGTATTATGCACCTGAAATACTGTGAAGGAATAACGAAGACAAACAGCGGCGGGTTAAAACACAAAGCTCTTGACAGAAAGACTATAGTGGTGGACCCAAATGCTGAGAAGAAGGAACGCTGTCTTGTCCGGTTACACCAAAAGTACTTGTCACTAAGGTAAGCAAATGATACTAGTAACAAGAAGAAATATTACAGCTGGGTAGTCACAGTATCTGGTGAAAATATACTGTACGTTACTATACAACTTTATAGTGCTACATAATAATGATAATAATGATAATAATAAAGATAATAGAATATCATCCCATTTTGAAATACTGTGATTGTGATTATGAAGTTGAAATCTTTCACTTACAGACCGCAGTCTTGTGACACTTTCTATCTGAGGCCTCTGAGGTACCCAAGAGTCGACGTGTGGTTCTGCACCGTTCCTATCGGGAGACAAACCCTAGGTGATCTTTCTATCTCTGTCTATATATACTTGACTAACAAATTTAGATATCACTCTAATTTTCAAAATTGAAGTATATGATCCATATTATGATAACAAAGTAATGAACTTTAAGGTGATCCCAACCCACACTCTCTCTCTCCCTCTCTCTCTCCCTCTCTCTCTCTCTCTCTCCCTCTCGTCTTTGACCGTCTGTAATTCAATGCATTAATTTGATAATTATTTTTGTTGAAGGAGGCGTCGTGAAGCGTTTATGCGCAGAAGCTGGTTTCACGGGTTTCTTTACCAACCACTCACTGAGGGCAACTGTTGCAACGAGGCTTTATGAGCAGGGATTTGACGAGCAGCTCATTTCCGAGAGAACAGGACATCGGTCGACTGCTATTCGCAGGTAAAACCAATGCTTTAATCTAATATTTCATTTAAAAAACATTTTCGGTAGTTTACACTTATAAATTAACACTAAATAAATATAACATTTTGATCACAAAAGATGCATTATTGGGTTTTAATGATTAGAAAAACAAAAAGTAATATTTTTTATTGATAAGGAAATTCTTTTAAAAGGATAAAAATAATGTTTCTTTTTACAGTTATAAGAGAACGAGCGACCATCTCCTTGATCTCGTCGATAATGCAGTTCTGAGAAAGAGATCGACTCCACTTTCCACATTTGTACCTTCCTCTACTGGCACACGAATGCCACCCTCATCTACCGCTGGAACACCAATGCCACCCACCTCCGTATCACCCACAGATGGTCTGACTGTTCCCTCCCCGCTGGAAATTTGTCTTGAGCGGAACGGATCCAAACTGACATTTAAAATGTAACCCTAGATAAATAAAGTTTGCCCAAGTGAGAAAAAAAACAACAACAATATGCACACTCCCGACTTTGTTATGTCTTTTCGAATAGCTCGTCAATAGTACAGAACTATTGAAGAGCTATTGAAACTATTGACGAGGCGGATGAAACTATTGACGAGCATTCCAGGAAATTAAGGACGCGTAATTTAGGTTTAAATTAGTATATTAAGCTCTGGGGGTTGTGTTTAGATATTGTCAGGTAATACTGAGGGAACAGGGTAGGTTCAGGGAAGCGTGCCTGGGTACGGCTGATAGCTGGGGAGTTAATTGGTGTAAAAATAGGGAGGTCAGGGGTAGCTTGGACTTTGGGGTCAGTTTAAATAGCGGGGCAGGGTCAGCCAGAATCAGTATGTTCATTTAAGGCATGGACTAACATTGTGGGAGATTTCTACTCTGGTTGGCTGTCCCGGAACTGGCCGGTTATCCTTATAGTCAAGTACGTAGGAGGGAAGACGAACCTCCAACATTACGTAACATAAGGAGAGAAGTTCTCCGACACTGCGTAAGGTGAGAAGTATCTCCGTTGCAGTGCACATCATAGGATGAACACAGCCGTGGCATCCAAGTATTACAGGCACCCTCCGTGGGGAAAACATCGCCTGGGTGTAAAGATCACCATTCTATACTACGAGGAAGTATCCTCGTGTGAACGGATCAGTGACATCAGAGATTCTTGAGTTTTCTGTAAACGGCTGATATGACAGTGGAGTGGCTTTGTTTTTATGGGGTGTGTGGTTTTATGTTGTATATATGTACATCCACGAAGTTATTAATGTGTATTAGTTGTGTTATTTTTAGAACATTTGTATTAGTGTTGTGTTAGTATTGTTAGAAGTAGACTATTAGTATAAGGATAGTAGTATCGTGATATTTGTATTGTTAGTAGTAGATATTTGTATTGAGTGAGTGAGTATGGTTTTACGCCGCTTTTAGCAATATTCCAGCAATATCACGGCGGGGGGAACCAGAAATGGGCTTCACACATTGTACCCATGTCGGGAATCGAACCTGTGAGATATTTGTATTGTTAGTAGTAGATATTTGTATTGTTAGTAATAAGATATTAGTATTAGTAGCAGATGTTAGTATTGTTAGTAGTAGGACATTTGTAATAGAAGTAGGATAGGATAAGTTAAGCTAGTTTAGTTAGTTGTATTAGTTAATTTGGAATCAGTGTGCATTTAAATATTGTTATTGGGCTTTAAAGTTAACTTAAGGGAGGAAAAAAATCTTTATTAAAACTTAATTTCGGTTTGTGGTTTATTCAATACGTGACTCGAGAGGGTTTCAAGTCTGGATCTCATCCCACGCGAAACCGAAACGCCATAATTTTATTGAAATACTGTCCAAAGCATCGTTAAGCCTAATTCACTCATCGTGTATGTCTGCAGTGCATATATGAATTATATCAGTTAAGCTAAGTGTACCACAAGGGCGCACAGCAGTGCGGCCAGGAGCCAACACCCAAGTAAGGGTCTGCCACAACTGATGAGCTATTGATTGTGTAAAGACCTAAAATCACCCGTGGTAAAACTAAAACTGTATGTACATTTATAAAAAGATAAACCTCTGTCGAAAAGTAAATGGTGGAAGTTGACTGGAATATGGAAATAATTTCTTCCTGAATAAAACAAGCAATGTGTCCGTCCGCAGCCCCAGGGAGCATGTCACTACACAACAGCATACAAAACTAACATGGCATGATGCGGTGACTTGTGGAAAGGGTTGTAAACATTAACCGATAAACCAAAAAATAGCTTATCGATCAGAATATATCTACAATACTGATGACCCTTTTTTACTTTCCCGCTGAGTAATATTCTCAGTTTGTACCATGATTGCTGGGTTTTCTTATGCAGATCGATGACAATGAAACAGCAACAAACGCATTTCCGACTGCAGTATGATTTCTCCAGGGTCATGTCGGCGTTAGATAAGATTATCACACAAAATTGCTTCTGTTTCTGTTGGACTGTCACGATACATTTGATTTACCACTTCAGTCAATATGAAATATTTCTTGGCAATGATCCAGTTTTGTAAATGTAATTATGCCCCAGTCTTTCTTAAATACTTAGTATGCTTACGGTATTCGACGAACTGCCCACGTAAACACTTCACATTGAGGATTTCACCTATCACTGTATACGTATGTCCATGTACTCAAAGTGGGTGGCGCGGATGGCTGTGTAGAATTGCAAAGCTTGGGCGTTCGAAATCTGTGATCGTAGGTTCGAATTCCAGGTTCGCCCTGATTGTGTCAACACCATACCCGCGCTCGTCGGTTTCACTGAAATGCTAAACGTCTAAGACCTGTATCACTGCTAGCGTTTTCTCCCACATCTAGCCGACACGTGGTGATGTGAAGGAAGTACTGTTCACAGCGGCATGTACTCTCACAAATGAAAGTATTCACAAAAAGATATCTACTTCTTGTGTGCCAGGTTCTCCTAGTGTTCATCATACTGACCGTGCTCTACTAGTCAGTGTGCGTGCATGATGTGTTCTGTTAGAAGTAGTACTACAGAAAGTATTTAACTATTCACTGTGTACGTTATGTACAGCTGATAGCAGTATTCAACTATTCACTGTGTGTACGTTATGTGCAGCTGTAAGCAGTATTCAACTATTCACTGTGTGTACGTTATGTGCAGCTGTAAGCAGTATTCAACTATTCACTGTGTACGTTATGTACAGCTGATAGCAGTATTCAACTATTCACTGTGTACGTTATGTACAGCTGATAGCAGTATTCAACTATTCATTGTGTGTACGTTATGTACAGCTGATAGCAGTATTCAACTAGTCACTGTGTGTACGTTATGTACAGCTGATAGCAGTATTCAACTATTCACTGTGTACGTTATGTGCAGCTGATAGCAGTATTCAACTATTCACTGTATGTACGTTATGTACAGCTGATAGCAGTATTCAACTATTCACTGTGCGTGTACGTTATGTACAGCTGATATCCGTATTCAACTAGTCACTGTGTGTGTACGTTATGTACAGCTGATAGCAGTATTCAACTATTCACTGTGTACGTCATGTACAGCTGAAAGCAGTATTCAACTATTCACTGTGCGTGTACGTTATGTACAGCTGATATCCGTATTCAACTAGTCACTCTGTGTGTACGTTATGTACAGCTGATAGCAGTATTCAACTATTCACTCTATATGTACGTTGCCTATAGTTGATAGCAGTATTTAACTGTCAGTCTGTGTACGTTAGGTACACCTGATAGCAGTATTCAGATAGTCACTGCATGTGTACGTTATGTACATCTGACAGCGGCATTCATCCAGTCAATCTGTGTGTACGTTATCTATAGTTGATAGCAGTATTTAACTGGTCACTGTGTGTACGTTAGGTACACCTGATAGCAGTATTCAACTAGTCACTGTATGTGTACGTTATGTACAGCTGACAGCGGTATTCAACTTTTACTCATATTACACATATAACATACCACTAGCATGATTGCGTGGATGTCCAGCTGCATTGTTACAATTGTTATCCAGGTAACAGGCATGTGCACATTTGAGTTGCTATGTACCGGAACATCTCTACAGTGAATCATCGATATTATATTGCCATTGGTTGCATACCTAGGTTCTTAATGCCCCTCAATGCCACAATAAATACTACACTTCACTTGACAAACTATAGCTTATGTTACAATTTGCTAGAACTGTCATAAAAAGATACATGCAGTTTACGACTTTAACGTGATATACTTATATTACTTTCCTATATAACATGTACTTTCACTGACAATACTTCTATTGCATGCGGTGCGGTGGGCTAGCCTAGTGTTTAAAGCATTCGCTCGTCACGCCGAAGGCCCCACATGGGTACAATGTGTGAAACCAATTTCTGGCGGCGTAAAATCAAACTCACTCACTCACTCACTTGCATGCTGTTACCATAATGACATTAATATACATCTATTGTACGATGCTACTATTATTACTGAATATATTTCTATTATATATTTCTATTGCACGATGCTACTATTATTACTGAATATATTTCTATTATATATTTCTATTGCACGATGCTACTATTATCACTGAATATGCTTCTATTGCATGATACAACTACCATCTCTGAAAATAATTCTGTTACAAGATGTCACTACTACCATTTATCAGACTTCTATTGCGCGTTGGTACTACCATCAAGGAAAATACTTTCACTGAATATACTTGCATTGCACAATGAATGCTACTATCACTGAATATACTTCTATTGCATGATGCTACGTCTGTCACTAAATATACTCCTATTCCTCGAACCGCCTCCATGGTCTGGTGGTAGAGCGTCCGCTCGGAGAGCGGAAGGTCTTGGGGTTCGATCGCCGGCCGCGTCCATACCAAAAGACGTTAAAAGATGGTACTTGTTGTTACCCTGTCTGGCGCCCGGCATTAAGGGGACTGGTCGGCTCGGAATCAGTATACTGTGCCCAAGTGGGGTATTCATGTTAAACTGCGGCATGGTATCTCAGTGTGCTGGCACTGCAAATCGGCATCAGTCCTGACTCGTGCGTGCACGTCGCTATATATAACTGCAATGATCTTGGACGCGACGTTGAACTGTTTACAACATTTCACCTCACCTTTTCCACGATGCTACCACTATCACTGAATATACTTCTATTGCATGATACAACTACCATCTCTGAAAATAATTCTGTTACAAGATGTCACTACTACCATTTATACTTCTATTGCACGTTGGTACTACCATCAATGAAAATACTTCTATTGCATGCCGTTACTACCCTCACTGAATATGCTTCTATTGCACGCCGTTACTACCATCACTGAGTATATACTTCTATTGCACGCCGTTACTACCATCACTGAGTATATACTTCTATTGCACGCCGTTACTACCATCGCTGAATATGCTTCTATTGCACGCCGTTACTACCATCACTGAGTATATACTTCTATTGCACGCCGTTACTACCATCGCTGAATATGCTTCTATTGCACGCCGTTACTACCATCACTGAGTATATGCTTCTATTGCACGCCGTTACTACCATCACTGAGTACATACTTCTATTGCACGCCGTTACTACCATCGCTGAATATGCTTCTATTGCACGCCGTTACTACTATCACTGAGTATATACTTCTATTGCATGCCGTTACTACCATCACTGGGTATATACTTCTATTGCATGCCGTTACTACCATCACTAAATATACTTCTATTACACGCCGTTACTACCATCACTGAGTATATACTTCTATTACACGCCGTTACTACTATCACTGAATATACTTCTATTGCACGATGCTATGACTATCACTGAATATGCTTCTATTGCAAGCCGTTACTATTGTCACTGAATATTATTTGCTTGTTTGTTTGTTGTTTAACGCCGCATTCAGCAATATCCAAGCAATGTGACGGCGGTCTGTAAATAATCGAGTCTCGACCGGACAAACAAGTGATTGACATCATGAGCATCGATCTACCCAGTTGGGATACGATGACATGCATCAACCAATTCAGCGGTCATGACCACCCGATCCCGTTAGTCGCTTCTTACAAGCAAAGTCGTCTTTCACGGCAAGCATGTGTTGATGAAGACCTATTCTTACCCGGATCTTCACGGGTTTCATTAAATGTACTTCTACTGCATCTGACTACTTTACTA